TCTGGTGTGGGCAGTGCTTGGTTGTGTCGTGGTGTGTGCATTTAATTTGGCTGTCGCTGGTGGACTAGCCAGCCCCCTAGGGGTCCTTATGCTTGTCATGTGGTCTGCTTGTGAGCCCAAGTGGCTGGTGTCGAGAGGTTGGCGAGAGGGCCAGGCTCCGTCGACTGCAAGTGTGGGATGCTCCCAGAGTACCCGGCGCTGGGAGACCTCCAGATGTGGTAGATCTGATAGTCTCGACCTGCTGCCTGGGTCCTCCTCCGCGTGGCTGTGCTGCCAGGGTTGCGACGCCGCATGGGCCGCCGCGGGTCCCGCGAAGTGGGGTGTCGATCCTGGCGTGGCCAAGGGGTGTCGCCTTGGTCCACGCTGTTGGCACTGCGGCTGGCTGCTCGAGTAGCTCTCCCACTCTTGTTGCAGCCTCACCCCGTCGCGGTGCTGGTTGCCTGCCTGGACCCCGCTGGCAGCGGGGATCACGGCCTGAGGGAGTCGCTCAGGTCCGCGCTTGGCGCGCTCAAACTTGGTGTCGCCGTTCTGTGGGTGGTCCCCACCCTTGCCCACAGTTGCGACGTCTAGGGAGCTAGTAATGCAGGTGGTTCGTCTGCTGCGTCTTTTGAGTCGGGGCTCCCTAGTAGAGCGTTGGTGGTTTGAAGCGGATGCGGCATCCCCCAGGCTCGCATCGGCTTGGACGTAGCTATGTAGTGTGATGGAGGCTAGGTGCGATCGTGTGCGTGCGGCCAGGGGCCGTGGGTGGGGGTCGTTGGGCGTAGGCTCGTCACCGCAAGGGTCTCTGAGTCTGGGCCCGATATCCCCAATGTCTTCTGGTGTGGCTGTCTGGACGCAAGTCTGGGCCAGTTGCCCCCCAGCCTGCGTGCTCCTCCTCAGTTTTTTGACAGTCGACCTCCGTCGAGGTCGCTCTCGCCGCTCTCGATGAAGGATGCCACCCTGTCGCCTGGGTCCGCGAAGCCATCGTCCGCGTCGCAGATCCTGACCTTTTTCGGCTGGCTCCTCGCCCTCCTGGGCTCCCTTGGCTGCTTCAGGTTACCTCTGCATGGAGGCGCCGAGCTCGTCCTCTCTGGCGTGCCCAGGTGGAATCGCGGTGGTGGCAGCCGTGGCTCGTGCGGCCCGGTGGGCGTGATGTCCTCAATCGGCATCCGCGGTGGTGTGCTGGGGCAAGCATCCTCGTCGCGGCTGAGGTCGATGAACAGCGTCGTCATGGGGGTCCGGGTTTTGGCTGGCTGTGATCGCTGTTGTGGGGTCTTGTTTGGCGTGAGAGGCGTGACGGGCGGAAAAAGTATGTGTCTTGGCGTGGGCTGTTCTGTCGGGATGGGTGAGTCGGCTGGTATCGTTGGTGAGAGTGAGGCGAGGTCTGTCGGGGCTTCGTCCTCCTTCTCCTTGCGCAGGCCTTGGCGGAGCTTCGTCTCTTCGCCCTGCAGGTCGGCGTCGTCGGATTCGCCAATTGGGATGCAGTCGCTGTTCGCCCGTGCGTCGAGCTGCCCTGGGTACGAGAATAAGCCGACGCTGTTGTGCTCCTCGGTGTGCGGGCGCTGCAGAGGTGGCGGTGGAGGTAGCGGGCACTCTTCGGTGGATGTCCTCGGCACGAAGCTTTGGTCCTGGAAGCTGAGGTCGTCGCACGACGAGAGGGTAGGCTCCTCTGGCGTTGGCATCGACGATGTGTGGGACCTCTCTCCAAATCCCACCTCGGCCAGCTCCTCGAGGTACGGCTGTAGTTCTGGGCGTGGAAGTTCGTACTGGCTAGGTAGTAGCCGAAGTAAGTCTGCCTCCAGTTGCTCCCTCTGGTACGCGCCCTCCTGCTCCGCCATGCCTTGGTCGCGCTCACTCGTGACTGGGTCTTCCATGAGGTCGTCCGTCATGTCGATTAACAGGTCCTCGTCCACTTGTCCTCCTGCTCCCCAGGCGTCCCGCAGTGCGTTCTGGAGTCCTGCCGTTTGCAAATCATGTGCGCGTTGGAGGTCTTGTAGTTGCTGCTGCCTCTGTGCGTCGCTCATATACTGGTTGTGGGCGTAGTGCTGCGCCACGGCCTGGATCTCCTGCTGGTGCTGGTGCTGCAGAGTGCTGTGGTACTGCTGCGTTACTTGGTTCTCCACCTCCTGCTGATGCTGTAGTGCTTGGAGCTCACTTGTGGCCGCTGCTTGTCGCTGCAGTGCCACCTCCTCCATCCTTTGGGCTTTGTCCACCGCTTCCTGGTGCTCCCCGACGCGCTCCAGGTACTTTTCCTGCTCGTGCTGCATCTCGTATGCCTTCGCCTGGATGGCTGCGTGCTCCAGGTTCAGGACGACCCGCATCTCTTCGCGCCTGTTGGCTTCCTCCTGGTGCTCGTAGGCCATCTGCTGGTAGTTCACTGCGATCCGCAGCTCCTCATCCTTGTAAGCGCTGCGACGGGCGCATCGCTCCTGGTACTCCGCCCCCGCCATCTCCTGCGTCGCCTTTTCGTTGTGCTCCTGCGCCATCTTGCACCACTGGGCCTCCTGAGCCGCCATCTGTCTCACAGCTTGCTCTTCCTGCCTGGCCTTCTGGACCTGCTGCGTGTAGATGGCCGCTCTTCTCTGGTCTTCCTTGTGCATCTCCTCACGTAGTGTCTTCTTGTCCAACTCAATATGCATTTGCAAGTCCACGAGCATCCCTTTGGCCCTTTCCTCCTGTGTCCTCTGGGTGCCTCTTTGTGCTTCGTATGCTTTTGCTTCCTCCTCCTCCAGCTTGGCGTTGTGATGCCGCTTGAGCGCGTTTACCTCCCATGTGTGCCACTCCTCCTGCTTGGCCAGCTGCACTTCGGTCGTGTGGTACATCTTTTGCGCCATGGTCTGCTCGTAGGCCTTCAGCTCGCTTTTGCGCTTGAGCTCTGCTTGTGCCAGCAGGTCGCTTTGCGGCTGCTCCTTTTTCTGCTGCGAGTCGAGCCTCTCGGTCAGTCTCCTGATGGCGTCTTTGGTCTCGTCTGGTGCTGCTGGGGCTGGTCGTGGCTGCTGAGCTGCTGGGGCTGGCTGAGCTGTGGCTGGCTGGGCTGCGGCTGGTACCGCTGGGGCTGCTGATGGGTCGCGCCTTCTCCTCGCGGCCGGGCGCGGCGTGCGTCCTCTGGTGGGATCATGACTCCCCTCTTCCTCTGACGACTCCTCCTTTACGCCCGCCGACTTTGCCATTTGATCTCTGGTTTCCCTCATCAGGGTCTTGTAGACCCTGATGGTTCTGGCGGCCGTCGCCTCCTGGTCGAGCATCTTGCTGAGCCGCTTCTCCATCTCGGCATGATCCTCCTCCAGCTTTTCCAGCGTAGCCCTGAGCTGCTTCATGCGCTCTTTGTGGGGCAGGACGAAGGAGATGTTCGCGGCGGTGATCGCCGCTTCCTGCTCGAGGCTGGTTGTGCACAAGCCCGCCAGCCTAGCACCAGCGATGTTCTCGGAGAGGCGACCCAGCCTGTGGCACTTCGTCTTGTACCACACGAACCTCATCTCCTCGTCATCTGGTGGTGCGGACCAGCTCTCGTGCTCCATCGCGACGGCGAAAGAGACTGGCGTGATGCTGTCCAGGACTGCCTTCTGCTGGGGGCTGTACTGGAAGCTGCCGATGTGGGCTGATGCAGGAGTGTCGAACTGGTCCCTTCTTTTGCGCCTGCTGCTTCTCCCTCTGGCTGAGGCGCTCCTCCATGGCGCACTGTGCTTCCAGTGCTGGTCGCTGTCGCTTCGCTGCTGGTGCTGTGGGTGCTTTTGCTGGTGCTGGTGTTGGGCTGGCTGGTGGTGGCGCTTGTGGGTCTGAGGCTGCTGCTGCTGCTGCTGACTGTGCTGCCTCTTCTGAGAGTTGTGCTGATGGCCATCCCCGAGGGCCCACTCCCAGGGCCGCCCTCCGATGGCTCCGTAGTCGCCAGTCCAGTCATTGGCACTGCTGCTGCGTCTGCGCTGGCGCTGCGCCTGGGTTGTGGACCCTGCTCCTGTCCACCTTTTCCCAGGGCCGCGCCGCGACGCCTCGAGGTGTGTGGTCCCTGCTCCTGACCACCTTTCCCTCGAGGCGTCGCGCTGCTGCTTCCAGTTCTGCTCCATGGCGTGCTGCTGGTGGCGCTGGGGCTGCTGCGCGCTGTGGTGGTTCCCCAGGAGGTCCTGCGCTGCTGCGAGGCGTAGTAGCACCCGAGCTTGTGCACGACGCTCACGTGCTCTTCGATGCCAGGCGCCCTCCTTGGGCGTGGCTGCGGCTGGTCGCGGCCTCCGCGGCCGCTGTCCTGCGGCTCGGGCGGCGCGCCTGAGCCCTGGCCGTTGGGGGGAGGCCGCCGCGGCGGCGAGGGGGCGACGACGGTGCCCCTGCGCGGCGGCGGGCGGGAGCGGCGGCCCCCCCCCACTCCTCAGCCAGTGGTTTCGTCCCCCTCCTCCTCCTCTTCCTCCTCCTCCTCCTCCTCGTCCCCCTCCTCCTCCTTTTCCCCCTCCCCCTGAGCCAAGTCCCCGGGGCAGGGGCCGAGGCCACCCGGGGGCACGCGCACGGAGAGAACGCACGGCATCATCGGAAGTGCGGGGCTCGGTGCGCCGTGGCCTGCCGTGGAGGCCAGTCCACGAGGAACCTTCCACGAGAAACCCAACCCACGACCCATGACCTCCTCTTCCTCCTCCTCCTCCTCCTCCTCCTCCTCACCCCCCCTTCTCCGACCTCCCACGTCGTCTTCCTCCTCCTCCTCCTCCTCCTCCTCCTCCTCCTCCTCCTCCTCCTCCTCCTCCTCATCATCATAACCTCCTCCGAAGCCTTTCACAAGAAGCCAAACCCTGAGACCCCAGGACGTCCATTTATTTGTAGTGTGAGAGCGTCACGCTTTCCATGGAAAAACCAACGGAGCCCAAGGAACCCAGGGCACCCCGGAGGCCAGCAAGGTGTTTCTTGGCATGGCCTCCACTGTAAGCTTTGAGGACGGTCGTGGGCAGGCCCCAAAGATCAGCTGGGCAATGCGACGAAACCCGATAACGTGGAGAAGTCCAAAACGCATCATCATCTGATTTCCACCGTCCTAAGAGCGTGACCAGGCATGCCAAGGACACAGGAATCGTTGGCGTCAGCGAGTAGCCGTACACGCAGATCATCTGCCTGAAGTTGACACTGTCGGGCGATTGGCCTGTGATCCACAGCACTAAGCGCGTCAGCAGTGGCACGGCTATCAGGAGGCCGTAGATCATGATTGCGGCCTTCAGGACTATAAGAATTTCAAGGCTCTCAGTCAGGATGACCACCAAGACAACCGGATACAATCAAAACGTGGATTTAAAATGGGCCGCAAGGACGCAAGACCCTTGGAGGCCAGAATTGGGATTTTGGACGGCAGGCGACAAGCGAATACGGCAAAGGACGGGCCGCAGAAGCAAGGCCACAAGGGCACCCTAGACGAAGGCGCGTTTCCTAACTAGGAGCGTCTACCGTATGGCGAGGCGCACTGGACAACCGACCCGGCAGCAAACTGTGCACTCCCCACCACAAATTTCGAAGACGGGGGGGGCCCTCCCGTCCTGTTCCAGGGGGGCCCGGTGGCCAGTGCGGCCCAGAACCACTTGAGCGACGATCAGAAGCGGGTCGCACGCTACATCGGAGACGAGGGCGCTCACGCGCGGCCTTGCGCGGGCGGCTTACGCGCCAATGCGCCAATGTCGCTGCAAATGACCCAGGGTCGCTCTTTTGGTGGTTGTACGATACATGAATGACCCGAAGAAAAAGCGAACTTTGGTGCGCGGTTTCAGGGGAGAGGGGGAACCGTGAGCGTCTCCATTCCAGCCATATGTCTGCCCTCGCCAGTTACCGTGAAATTAACAGCGTCCAAATGGAGGCGTACAAATTGTCGCGTCTGCCGTGGCCTTTCCTGGTCCCCCCTGGCCTCCCCTGGGGGGAAGGGGAACGTCGAAGGGGGGCCAACTCAGGGGAGGAAACACAAACCTGGAGTCGGCGATACTTACTCCGAGTTTCTTGATAAGCGTCGGAGGGGCTTCACCCCAACCGACAGCACAACATCGACCCCGTCGCGGGCGTCCACCGCGCGCCGAAAGCGCTCCGACCCCCCGTCGCGGCGCGACGTCGAGGCGAGATTGACCCCCCGTCGGGGGGTGGTACCTCCCCACGCTCATTCAGAAACCCAAGGAGTTTTCGCCGAGAGATCGGAGCCAGGCCCCCGATAACGAAGCCGCGCGCTCGCGGGGCGTGGTGGGATATCCGCCCCCTGCCGGTGATGAGTGGGCGATTGAGGGTCGAGGCATCCCCGTTCTGAGCGTTAGGTTGGGCATGTCCTCCTTCAGTCGGATTTATTTGGAAGCGGTAAATGCACACTATTACGTTGAAGGGGCTATTTGCTAAAAGGAACAAGCCTTTCAGTGAAGTGTTGTTGCACTGTTGCGCGACAGCCGCGGCGGCGCGTCCGAATTGCCAAGCCACGGGCTGCGCTCGCGCCCTGGATCTCCTGCCAAGGAGCATCCACAACTCGCTGGAAGCATGTCCGCGGCTCGCCGCGACCCGATGTAACGCGACCCAGATCACCCAAAAGCAAGTGCATCGCGGGGCGGGACGGCAGGAAAAAACAAGGGGCCCCCGCCCCCCGACAGGGGCCCTGGCCCCGCATCGCTGCCGCATCCCCATGGCCTTACTCAGGCAGGCCGCGGACTTTACTAAATCGAAGAAGCGGCTCTACTAAAGCGAGGGAGCGGCTTTACAAGAGCGAAACAACGGCTTTACGAAAGCGCGGAAGCGACTTTGGCAAACAATGGAACAAAAACGGCGTTTCACTAAAGCGAAGAGAGAGCTTTAGTAAAGCGGGGGAGCGACTGGGGTAAATGGCGCGCAGAAGCTTCGCTCCTCCCATCAAATCTGGCCCGGGACTCCAGGAGCGAGGGTGGGGCGCAAGTTCGGCCGTTGGCCCGGGCCTCGTCTCCGCCATCGCCGCGATGTTCGTCGTCGCCGCCGTCGCCGTTGCCGCCGTCGTCTCCACCGTCGGCGCAGGCGCCGCCGTCGTCGTCGCCGTCGCCGTCGTCGTCGCCGCGACCCCCACGCATTCGCGTTATTACCAGCGGCGGGTCGCGCGTGACCGCGCGCGCCACCGCGCTCGCATCTCCGCTCGCCCGACGGGGGGCCCAAGCGGACATCATGATCTTGTGTGCTCGCAACTCGTTTTAAGTAACTGATAGTGGGAGAAGAAAAATCTTGGATTTATATAAACAAAAACAAAAATCTAAAAATGCCAGCCATAATCCGTCGCCCGCGCCGCAGTC